ATTGTCAAAGGTAACTTGTAAACAGGCTAATATTAAAATAAATTCTTTTGTAGTCCAATGCGAGTTATAACCTATCAAATATGAAATTTCAGGTGTTTAAGGGTTAACTAAACTATCGCACACAGCTGTGCGATTGTCGGTTGTTTCGCAATTCAACTGTTTAGTTGCACAACTAAAAATCGAGTACGCGCTTCTCTAGTTAGGCTCATAAGAATCAAAGCAAGACTAAACAGTGGTGCGATAGTCAAAGGTGCGCGCGCTCTTAAACTATTTTTTTTATAACTACAGTTACGTTTAAAAAATTCAAGTCTTTCTTGAAAAATATAAATTTAAGTAATTGTATTATTTTTTATCGTAGAGTCCACTTTTTAATTTCTATTTGTGATTTACACAATTGTCGTCTTATGTTTAAATTTGTCGAATACAATTTAGATTTCTTGTAAAATTCTTTCGGAGGGTTGGCACAGTATGTGCTGCTCTTCCAGACATCTCTATCAGCCGTATCTGAATCCACTTCTTTCTTAAGCATATCCTCTTTCACAAAATCCATCCATACTTTCTTCTGTCATTAAATTTCTTTCACGCATTAGGATTAAAACAAAATAATCTTATAATGACTTGTCAACAGGTAGAATTGGCATAACAAATCATCTTTATTGGTTCGAGCCAACTTCAGAAGAAAACAAAGAAATCACGAAATTAGTTAATCTGTATATGGTATGGTTTTTTTGTTACTAAAATTAAAAGTATTTAATGTTTTGTTTTTGTTTTAGTCGCATTGTTAATTAGACGATATCCATCTTACCTTTTACTAATATTATAAATGCGAAAGTTTGGATCGATTTGTTAGATTTTGTAGCCTAATCTGTTGAACGGATCTCGATGAAATTCATCTTACCTTTTATTAAAATTATAAATGCGAAAGTTTAGATGGATGTTTGTCAGAGTTTGTAGCCTAAACTGTTGATTGGATCTCGATGAAATTTGGCATAGATGTTTGTACGAAGAATACATAGGCTACTTCACTGTTTTTTTTTTTAATTCGACACGGATTCACGATGAAATTTGACATGTAGAGGATAGTCTGGAAGAACACATAGGCTACTCACTTTTGTTTCCTAAATTCTACGCCGGACTCGCAGGCCTAAATATATATGTTGTAGCACATAAGCATACACGCCGTCTTCTCAAAAGAGGGTGGATGGCCTCCAGAAATAGAGAAGATAGTAGCAGAAAATAGTAAAAAACAAGGATATCCTAGATCCAGACTACCAGCAATGAGTAAAGAGGAAATCAATCTCATTAAAGGTAAATATAACAACGGTCTTTAACACTGAGAGAAATTGAGTACTTTTACTGTAAAAAAGAAAAGATTCTTTGATCCTGTTTAAATAGCTGGTCAGCGACTTCTGTTAAATTAAAAAAAATGCACTTATTACTCAGTAATAACGTAACTTTTTAAGGGTGAAAGAATTTTTAAAATCGGCCCAGTAGTTTTTGAGTTATCTTAATACATACAAGACTTACCGTGGCGCAGACGCAACGGTATTGCTCACGAAGATTGTCTATGCAATACGCGAGTGCATGCAGTTCGAGCCCTCCAGAACGCAGCCGATCTCAAAATAAAAATCTTTCCTTTCTGTAATTAATCTGGACTAGCTGTTGCTCTCGACTTCGTCCACGTGACATTAAGAAAATAATAAAAAATAGCCCATGTAACTCAGTGTTCACGTAGCTTTTAAATGGTGAATGGTTTTTTTTTTTATATAACATAAGGTGGCAAACGAGCAAGCGGACACAAGAATCCGCCAAAATGGTGAAGCGACCGCTGCCCATAGACATCCGCAATTGCAGAT